CCTCCTCCTCCTCCCCCTCCTTCTTCCTCCTCCTCCTCCTCCTCCTCCTCCTCCTCATCCCTCTCCTCCCTCCCACTCCCCCCTCCCAGATACCATAGGGAACTCCCCGGAAGGCCCCAGTGGCAGGGTCCGCATGGCACCACCGCCTCCATTTCGACACACCCCTCGCAACGTTCGTGGCACCACAGGGAGCTCCACCGAAGGCCCCAGTGGCAGGGTGTACATGCGTCCCCGCGACTCAAGTCCGCACACCCCTCACAAGGTTCGTCGCGCCGTAGGAAGCTCCACCCAAGGCCGCAGTGGCAGGGTTTACATGCGTTCCCGCGGCTCATTTCGGCACCCCCCTCACACGTTCGTGGCCCCAGAGGGAGCCCCACCGAAGGCCCCAGTGGCAAGGTTTGCATGCGTCCCCGCAGCTCATTTCGGCGCACCCCTCACACGGTTCGTGGCCAAAGAAAGAGCTCCACCCAAGGCCGCAGTGGCAGGGTTGACATGCGTCCCCGCGACTCATTTCGGCATACCCTTCACACGGTTCGTGGCACCATGCAGAGCTCCACCGAAGGCCTCAGTGGCAGGGTGTACACGCGTCCCCGCGACTCATTTCGGCGCACCCCTCACACGGTTCGTGGCCAAATAATCAAGCTCCACCCAAGGCCGCAGTGGCAGGGTTTACATGCGTCCCCGCGACTCAGTGCGGCACACCCCTCACACGGTTCGTGGCTCTACAGGGAGCTCCACCGAAGGTCTCACTGCGCAGTTCGCATGCTTTTTCCCCGCCCAGTACAACGTTTCGTGGCCCGATAAGGAGCTCCACCGAAGGTCCCAGTGGCGCAGCCCGCATGCGGTTCCCCCGCCCAGCACAAAGTTTTGTGGCCCCAGAGGGAGCTCCATGGAAGACGATACCCACAACTGCGGTACTCACTACTGCATAACTACTTTCAATACGGGGTTCCTGGAAGTCCCGATACTCTCCCAGGGACCGGTTTTTCACCCTGAGCCGTTTTGCCTTGACGGTCACATGTCTGAGCTCGGTAAACGCCCCTGGCTTCCCCTGACTTCGGCGCCTGCAGCGGCAGCGGCCGCCGCGGGGCCGTCGACCCTGCGGGCGGCGCCATGCGCCGCCTCGGCGGCGGCCGCCTCCTCCGCCGCCGCGCCGCCCACCGCGGGCGCGCGCGCGGCGGGCCGCGCGGCCTCTGCGGCGGGAGGGGCCGCCGCGGAGGCGGCCGGCTCCGCCGCCGCGCCGCCCATGTGGCGCCCTCCCCCGGCGCTGCGGCGGGCGCCTCGGCGCCTGCGCGGCCTCAGACGTGGTCGCGTCGTGCAGAACTCAAGGCGCATGGCTTTTGGCCCAGCTGGAGCATGTATTAAAAACGGCACTGTGCACCCACACCGCTACTCCACGGGCCTCTGCTGGGCTGCAATCTGCCTAGAAGCCGAAGCGCATCCAGCCGTGGCTACGAGGGCCCTCCGGGGGGCCCAGACGGGCGACATCGAGGGACGGGCAGCGGCATCGGTATACCGTTTCCTCGTCTGACATTCCAGACCCCCTACGTCATGATTTTTTCATTTCGTCGGCCCCTGGAAGCCTCGACCGGATCTTCATCCTGAGGCCCTCTGTGACGTTCCCGAGGCCCGGCGAGGGCCCCCCGAAGCCGAAAATAGCGAAAACCTCCTGTCATGATTTCTTCATCACCTGAGGGGGTCTGGGTTCCTCCGGTAAGGAAAAAATGTAGCCCCTTCGTCTTCGGCCCCGCATTCGCCCCCTCTCACGCCTGTGCTGCCAAACGCTTGAGGCTAACTTTGAAATGGGGGGGAGGGGGGGCGTGGCGTCAAGGGTTCCACCTTGCTGTCCATCTACGGTCCCCCCCCCTCGATCCACCTTCGGGTCGGGCGAAAGGGGGGGATAGCAAAAGGGGGGTTTGAGAATCAGCTCACGTAGCTGATTTTCCCGGCGCCTCCCGGCGCCGGAGGCGGCTATGTATCGAGGAATGGGCCCATCGGTGAGGCCGAAACCAGCTGCATGCAGCAAATTTCGTAACCCCCCCTTTCCCAATCCCCCCCTTTCGTCCGGCCCGACGCCTCCTCCCTCGCCCCTCCGCCCGAGCCCCGTCCTGCTCCGGCTGCCAGGGCCTCACCAGCGGGGACCGCACCGACAGCCATGCCGCCACCGAGCACGCCGCCGGCGCGCACCTGCTCGAGGGCGGCTCCCCTCGCCGCCGCCGGCGCTGGTCTGATGGTGCTCCCATGACTCGCAGAGTGCTTGCTCGCAAGGTGCGAACAAAAACTGATGCCTGCTTCGAGGGATGCATCGTGGGTCCCCCGCGGCGGAGCCCGGCCGTTTGCGAGCGGTTACTTTGCGAGTCGTGGAACGCGCTTGTCCACAATGGGTGGCGTGCGGGGGCGGTGAGCAGAATCAAGAGTTATGTTGCCCCCATCGTACTTAAGGAACACATCCCAGAAATAGTTTCGAGCACCCGGAAAAGTGTCGAAAGAGTGTCGAAAGAGTGATCGGACGAGTGTCTCCCAGGGCCCGACACCTGAAAACCCTAGAGTTTCGGTATTTTGCTGGTGCTCGAAATTCTTTCTGGCGGTCAAGGCTAAAGCAGGTTGGAACTCATAACGCTGGTCGACGTTCCCGCCGTCCGTCGTCGCCGGAGCCGCTCGTCGTCGCCGTCCGCCGCCGACGGCGCCGCTCGTCGTCGCCGCCGCCGGCGAAGCTCGTCGTCATCGCCGCCGCACGCCACCGCTCGTCGCCGTCGTGGGGGAGCGGCGCGCAGCGGCGCCGTGGGCGCCGCCCGTGCGTCGGCACCGTCGTCGACGCCGTCGCCGAAGCTCGGTCGTCGACCTTCGACCGACGAGGATCGACGGGTGTCATCGTCGCTTTTCAAAAGTGTCTCACAACAACATAAACATAAACTTTCGGCGGTCCGCGCGGATTTCTTGGATCCGTGCTGGACCTCCCTCCCTGGCTCGCGAAGCGCGCCAGGGGCGGCGCCGGGGGCGCCGCCAGGGGGGTCCCAGCGCAGATTCAAGAAATCAGCGCGGAGCGCTAACAATTTATGTTTATGCCATTTCTCTTCTCCGATTGCGATTTCGTAGACGGTCTCTGGTCTGCGGAGGTTTGAATGATTTGTGGATATTTCAGGAAGGTCTCCGAGGTTCTGGGGGGTCCTCGGGGAGGCTCCTGGAGGCTCTGCGTAGGTTCTCGCCGTCGCCGCCGCAGAGGCCGTCTGCGTCGCCGATCCTCGAGCCTCGATCCTTGAAGATCGAAAATCTGGTTTAGGGACGGTTTTCACTCTCTTCGGGACTCTGGGAGGCCTGTCGTAGCCACAGCTGGAACCGCCCGGAAATTCTCATCGAAAAGCACCCATGGACAGGTCCATGGAACGAGTTTGAGGAGGAAGTTGTGGTGGTGGTGGTGGTGGTGGTGGTCGTCGCCATCGCAACTCAAACAAATTGTCTTCGCGTCTTCTGCATTGGGGGCCCGCATTGGGCCCGAGGGCCACTGGGCATTACTCCCAGGCGTGAGACAGGTGGCCACAGAGTGGGGGGTTGTCCGGGAGCCGACTTTTAGTCGATCTCGATCGTCTTCGTCGAAAGCATCGTCGCCGCCGCCTTCAAAGCCGTCGGCGCTGTCCTCGTCGTTGTAGCCGTCGTCGCCGTCGCAGTCGCAGTCCTTGGCGACGCTGTGCCCGCCGCCGCCATCGCAGTCGCTCGCCGACGTCGTCGATGCCGCCGCCGTTGTTGTCGCAACCGTCGCCGCCGGAGCCGCCGCCGACGCCGTCGCAGATGCCGTTGCCGTCGCCGTCGTCGTCGCGTCGTCCTCTCCGCTGCCGCCGCCGTCGTCGCCGTCGTCGTCGTCGCCGCCGCCGCCGCCGTCGTCGTCGTCGCTGCCGTCGTCGTCGTCGTCGCCGCCGCCGCCGCCGCCACCGTCGTCGTCGTCGCCGCCGTCTTCCAAGCCGCCGCCGCCGCCGCAGGTCGCAGCCCTCGGCGGCGGCGCCGCCGCCCGCCGTCCGCAGCGGGCGGGCGTCCGCAGCGGGCGGGCGGGGGCCCGCGCGCCCTCCGGGGCCCACCGCCCGCCCCGCGGGGGTATCTGCTGGCCCGGTTGCATGCAGGCCCGGGTCAGTCAGGCGCTGCCGGATCCTGTGCGAGCCCCAGACCCAGGAGGAGGAGGAGGAGGAGGAGGAGGAGGAGGAGGAGGAGGAGTGCGAGGAGTGCGAGCATGAAAGACAGTTGAAATCTTAAAAGGGGAGGAGATGAAACGAATAGACTGACTGCTGGACGACGCCAAACCACCCGCTCGCGCTGTGAGAACATCACGACGGGAAGCTTTTTTCGCTGCTTTCGGCCTCGAGGGGCCCTCGCCAGAGTCAAGGGGTCCAGACCGCTGGGAGTCGACGCTGCGAAAAAAATACACACGACGTTGGGGGTCAGGGAAGATCCTGCAGGATCCAGCAGGATCCTACACTCAAGCCCGGGTCAGTGCACCCCTGGCTCTGTTGGATCCTGCAAGATCCGGCGCTCTGCCAGACCCCCGTCGTTCCCAAACATGCGACGTCCTGCTTTTTCCCATACGGGGTCCCTGAAATCCCGACCCGTTCTCTGGGACCGGTTTTTCATCCCGAGTCATCTTTCGACGGTCCCGAGGCCCGGCGAGGGCCCCCCGAGGCCGAGGTCGGCCAGAAAACCTGCCGCCCCGATCTGATTTACGACGCGGGGTCTCTTGAGCCCCGAGCCCCACCGAATGGGAAGGGTGACCCACAGGTTTGGACGGACGTCCGAAATGGGTACGGAAAGAATGGGTGCAATGCCCAAAAACATACTTGTCCCAAACCAACAGCGGCCGCTGTTGGGCAGGCGGCCTTCTGTCTCGAATGGACACAGGCCGCGGCGGCGTGGACAGCGAGCCCTGTTCAAAATGAAAAAGATCCGCTGTTGGGCATTGTACCCATTCTTTCCGTGCCCATTTCGTTCGTGCAGAACCGGGCACCCCGATGCCGAAGTCGGCCAGAAAACCTGCAGCCCTGATCGTCTTTTACGACGCGGCCCTGTCGGGGTCTCTTGAGCCCCGAGCCCCACCGAATGGGAGGAGTCTCTCTCTCTCTCTCGTTCGCTTGCAAAGTATTAGGTCTCTAGCTGCAATAATACTCAACATATCTGCGCAACCCCGAAAACTGTTTCCCTTAGTTCTCAAGCTGATTTTCCAGGGAGCTCGCTGTCCCCATTGACAGCACTTTCAAGTGTGTAAGGAGCTCTACCAGGTCCCACCAGGCACCCCAAACCGACAGCGGCCGCTGTTGGGCAGGCGGCCTTCTGTCTCAAATGGGCACAGGCCGCGGCGGCGTGGACAGCGAGCCCTGTTCAAAATGAACAAGATCCGCTGGAGGAGGAGGAGGAGGAGGAGGAGAGAGGAGGAGGAGGAGGAGGGGGAGGAGGAGGAGAGGAGGAGGAGGAGGAGGAGGAGGAGGAGGAGGAGGAGGAGGAGGAGGAGGAGGAGGAGGAGGAGGAGGAGGAGGAGAGGAGGTATAGGAGGAGAGAGGAGGAGGAGGAGGAGGAGGAGGAGGAGGAGGAGGAGGAGGAGGAGAGAGGAAAAGGAGGAGGAGGAGGAGAGGTGGAGGAGGAGGAGGAGGAGGAGGAGGAGGAGGAGGAGGGGAGGAGGAGGAATAGGAGGAGGAGGAGGAGGAGGAGGAGGAGGAGGAGGAGGAGGAGGAGAGGAGGAGGAGGAGAGGAGGAAGGGAGAAGGGGAGGAGGAGGAGGAGGAGGGAGGGAGGAGGAGGGAGGAGAGAGAGGAGAGGAGGAGGAAAGGAGGAGGGGGAGAGGAGGGAGGAGGAGTAGGAGGAGGAGGAGGGAAGAGGAGGAGGAGGAGGAGGAGAGGAGGAGGAGGAGGGGGTGTCCTAAGCCCTTCCGTGCCCATTTCGTTCGGGCAGAACCGGGCACCCCAGGAAGGCGCCCAGCACCACGAGCCGGCCCACGCGCACGTCGCAGGGCAGGACCGCCAAGTGCCTGCCGAGCGCGGTCAGGCGGGCAGCGGGGCCGCCCGCTGCCTCCTGCGATGCGGCGCAGGGGGGGCGCCACCGGCACCGCCGCCGCGGCAGCCGAAGCCAGAGGCGGAGGAGGAGGCGGAGGAGGAGGAGGAGGAGGAGAAGGAGGGAGGAGGAGGAGGAAGTGGAGGAGGAGGAGGAGGAGGAGGAGGAGGAGCAGGAGGAGCAGGATGATGATGAGGAGGAGGAGGAGGAGGAGGAGGAGGAGGTAGGGAGGAGGAGGAGGAGGAGGAGGAGGAGGAGGAGGAGGAGAAGGAGCAGGAGGAGGAGGAGGAGGAGGAGGAGGAGGAGGAGGAGGAGGAGGAGGAGGAGGAGGAAGGGGAGATGGGGACGACCATAATTGGGGAAACCAGAAGGTCCCGATACTGCTACTCCCCAGACCTCTCCCGGGTTGCATTCTGACCAGGATGTCGAGGCGAATCCAGCGGTGGCGACGAGGGCCTTCCAGGAGTCCCCAACAAGGAAAAACGAGGGAAGGTTAGCGGTATGGGCACCGTTCCGCCTCTGAATGGTCACTCGCTCCTGGCCCCAGTCCCCCTCGTCCCCCCCTCCCCCCTCCCGGGCTGCCCGTCCTCATCCCTCCGCCCTTCCATTTTCCAGCTCCTTCTGCCGCTCCTTCTGCTGCTCCTGCTGCTGCTCCTCCTCGTTGTCGTCGTCCTCGTCGTCATCGTCCTCCTCGTCGCTGTCGTTCCTGTCGTTTTCGTCGTCGTCGTCATCCTCCTCCGTCTCCTACAACGGTGGTGCAACAGGTAAGAGCTCGTGTCCCTGCCTGTTCGAGCTAGGAAGCACCCAGCCGGCCAAGAAAACTGGTGGTCCCCGGTCACGGGCCGCGGTGCGCAAAGGTCCTCGGAGGGGGCCGCCGGGGGGGTCGGATCGGCTCGGATCGCATCGGACGTCCACGGCGTGAGGCAGCTGTAGTCTGAAGCCGGGCCTATCCCCCTACAGGGGGATTTTCGACGAAAAATGAAAAATACTCAAACAAATACCCCCACAGTGCTCAAACATACTCAACAAATCGTCCCCGGACGAATTATCTTGTAACTACATATGTTTGAAGATTCCCCCTGTAGAGGGACAGGCCCGACTGAACTGCAGCCTCCCAGCACGGGGAAAGGCAAAGAACAAAAAGGCAGGACCGCCAAGGCCCATGCACTCCAGCAGGCCAGACGCGCGCCGACAGGCGGGGATGGGGAGGGGCCGCCGCCGAGGCGCCGGGGGAAGGCAGGGCAGGAAGGCCCCCTCCGCCCGCCGTGGATCCTCCTCGTGCCCCTCCGCCTCCCAGGCGCCTCCGCCTGCCTCGTCCTGGCCCCCCTCCCCCCCACCTCCTCGTGCCTCCTCGTGCCCCTCCTCCTCGTGCCCCTCTTCCTGCCCCCTCCCCCCCACCTCCTCGTGCCCCTCCTCCTCCCAGGCGCCTCCGCCTGCCTCGTCCTGCCCCCCTCCCCGCCCCCCCCCACCGCCACCCTCCAGTTCGTTCTTCGGGCGGGCGGCGTTTGGGCGTGACCCACACGGGGGGCAAGGGCAAGGGCCCTCAAGGGGCCCTTGTGTAGCGCCCCTGTTGGAGCCAGACAATAAGAAATCCACAACGACTCCGACCCCTGGCCGATCAGGTGCCGTGCCAACGCGAGCACGCGCCCTGGGGACCGCGGAACCCTCTCGTTGCTCGATCGCCCGTGCCAGCAAACTCATTTTTGAGAAAAAGTAAACAATATAGCATGACCTTTGTGGGCCCAGGAAATAGCAAGGCCGTTTTTTCACCGTTTCCCCAAAAATGTCCCTTGAAAATGGACAGCAAAAAATCGGCGACCGGGAACGGCAGAAAAAAAGGCTCCGGGATTGGAACCGGAGTTGGAACCGGTCAACAAACGGCGACGGCACCGGTAACAAAAACGGCGTCGGAACCGGCCAACAAAAGCGGCAAAACGGAACCGGTAAAAAACGGCCCTGTCGTTTCCAGGGTCCACTACAGTCAAAAACCCTAATAAGGACGCGCGGTAATGACGCAAGACCCTTGGAAGCCGAAGTTGGGATTCGGGGGCGGCGGACGACGAAAACCCCAAGGGTACCCTGACCAGCGGGCAAGCGCAAGAGGCCAAGGACGAGCCGCAAGAGCAAGGCAGAGCAAGGACGCAAGGGCACCCTGAGCAACACCGCGCGTCCGTATTCGGGCTTTTGACTGTAAGGCCACGACCAAGCTGGTGCTGGGCCACAGCAGAGCCCCAGCGGCCCCCGAGCCCCGAGAGTCTAGGGCTCCTAAGTTCGCGCTTCGCGCTGCGCGAAGCGCGAATAACTTCGCGCTCTCGCGCCGCCCCCCCAAAGGGAGAATAGGAGGACGAGGAGGAGGGGGAGAAGGAACGAGGACCGCGAAGCGCGAAGCGCGAATAACTTCGCGCCCTCGAGGGAGCCCTTGGAGAGTGCAAGAACGCCGCACGGCGGGAGAGGCGGCGAAGAGCGCGGCGGCCGGCGCGGCGCAGGTCCTTGCCGTCTGCGCGACCCGCGCCCTCGGGCAGCACCGCGCCTCGGCAGCGGGGCAAGGGGGGGAGGATCGGCAGCGGCGGAGCTCCGTGGGCCCTGGCAACGACAGGGCCGTTTTTGTACCGGTTCCGTTTAGCAGCTTGTTTTGGCTGGTTCCGACGCCGTTGTTTTACAGGTTCCGTCGTCGTTTTTTGACCGGTTCTGGCTCCGGTTCCAAACGTTTTCTCCCTACCTAGGCTCTGCCTAGAAGGGTTCTTACTCGGTATGCTTGAAGGGGCGGGCATTGGGGCCCACCCCGGGCGGTTCCCCCAGCATCCGCCCTACGGTTCCCCCAGTTGCGCCCCCTGGGTTCACCCAGCTTAGCTTAGCTAAGCTTAGCTTAGCTTAGCTTATCTCATCTTAGCTTAACTGAGCTGAGTTAAGCTTAGCATTGCTTAGCTTTGCCTAGCCTAGCTTGGCTTGGCTTAGCCTAGCTTAGCTTTGCTTATATTATATCATATTAGCTTAGCTTCGCTTAGCTTGGCTTAGCTTAGCTTAACTTAGCCTAGCCTAGCTTGGCTTAGCTTAGCCTAGCTTAGCTTACCTTAGAGCAGCATGGCGCAGCGCAGCATTCGCACGCCATAGCATAGCATAGCCAAGCATAGCATAGCATAGCATAGCTCAGCATAGTTCAGCATAGCATAGCATAGCGCACCATATCATATCGTAGCATAGCATTGCTTTGCATAGCACAGCACAGCACAGCATAGCATACCCTAGCCTAGCCTATCCCAGTATAGCATTGCGCAGCATAGCATAGCATAGCATAGCATAACATAGCAGAGCATAGCATAGCAAAACATAGCATAGCATAGCGCAGCACAGCATCCACTATTGCTGCTGCTAATGTTGCTTTCCTAGAGGCTCCAACTCCTAGGTAGGGTCGCACTGGGATAATTGACCGGTTCTGGCTCCGGTTCCAATCCCGGAGCCGTTTCTTTGCCGTTTCTGGTCGCCGTGCTTTTACCGTTTCCATTTTCAAGGGACATGTTTTAGGAAACGGTGAAAGAACGGCCCTGCCGCTTCTGGGGACCACAAAGCGGGGGAGGGCCCGGGCATTCGACGCATCGAAAAGTCCGCCTACCCCGTCGGCGTCCGTGAGGGGCTTGTCCGTTCGAGTCGTCGTCTCCGTCGTCTGTCAGTCGTCGTCTCTGTCATCCCCTTTCCCTGCGCCCTCCCTGTCCCTGGGCCCGTCGCCGCTCCCCCCCTTCCCTGAGCGTTCTTCCTCAAGCGCTGGGCCTATCGCCGCCCCCGCCCTTCTCTAGGCCCTCCTCCCCAAGCGCGCCAGCCAAAGCGAAATTGAGCAACGTCGCAATTGATTCGAAGTGAAGCTCCTTCCCTTTGATCCCTCCCCCGCGGGGTCCTGGAGGGGTCCCAGGTCAGATACGACTCCCCCCGTGGGTCCCGGGGCCCGAAAAAGCTCCAAGACGGACCAAGAGTGCCCAAGAGGCCCCAAAACAGTCTCAGAGGGCACCGAATCGCCGAGCGATCTGTCCAATACGCCTTGACGGCCTCCAGACGGCCCGAGAGCCCTGCAAGACGCCCCAAGACCCCTCCAGGAGCACTCCCAAGAGGGCCCCCGAAGGGGAAAAAACTCTGATTCCCCATTGGTTTTTATGCATTTCGGCTTTCTCGGCTCTTCCGCTTCCCGACGCTCCAAGACGGCCCAAGAGGCCCCCCCAGACCGATCCGCCCACGAGGGTTCCAGGAGGGACCCAAAACTGCCCAAGAGGGCCCCAGGACGGCCCGAGACGCTGCCAAGACGGCCCAAGAGGCGCCGAAGACGGCTCCAATAGGATGCCCAGACGAGGGACCAGAACGGACAGGACATTTCGAGCCCTCGGCCCCGTGAGGCTCCCAGGAGGAATCAAGAGGCCCCCAAGAGGCCCCCCAGAGGCCCCATGGAGGCCCCCAGAAAGCCCCGAGAGACCCCCAAGAGGCTCCCAAGAGGCCCCGAAGAGGCCCCCGAGAGCGCTTCGAAGAGACCCCAAGAAGCATCCATGAGGACACTGACCCATGTCAGCGTCGTTGTCGTCGCCGCCGCCGCCGTTGTCGTCGTTCCCCTTCAGGGTCGGCGGCACCGGCCGTAAGGCTTTCGCAATCAGAATGGAGGGGTCAGGCAGGCTTTGCAGGATCCTGCAGGATGCTGCACCCAAGCCCAGGCCAGTGCGCCATTGGCCCTGCAGGGTCCTGCAAGATCGTGCGCTCTAGCTGACCCCGCTTGCATTGAGCCCCGTCCCTTGAGCCCCGATCTGGGGGGCCTCGCCGGGCCGCAAGATCGTCCAACAACGACTCACGATACAGGACCAGCTCCAAAATGAGGGTCGGGACTCAGGGAGACCCCGTGTGTAAAAAAACGAGGAGGGGGAGGAGGAGGAGGAGGAGAAGGAGGAGGAGGAGAAGGAGGAGGAAGAGGAGGAGGAGGAGGAGGAGGAGGAGGAGGAGGACGAGAAGGAGGAGGAGGAGGAGGAGGAGGAGGAGGAGGAGGAGGAGTTTTTTTCAACATCAACCGCGGAGGGAGGCCGACAGGTTGAATCAGCCTGGGCTGAAACAGAGCTGGCGGAAGCGGACCGAGGCGGTGGCCGACGCAAGCGGCGGGCACCCCAGGGACCGAAGTCAGACGGAGCCGACAGACACCGCAGACCTTACACGAGCAGCTCGGACGGGACCCGCACTCTCCTCCTCCTGGAGGCGGAACCTGACTCGTCGGAGCTGCTCTTTCCCTTCCCCCCCCTTTGGGGGGGAAGGGGAAAAGGGGCCCCCCACGCCCACCGCATTGGGAGGGGAGGGGGAAGAAGAAAGTCCCAGGCCTCGAGGGGCTGGCGGCGCGGGCGGCGCCTGGGTGTCGGCAAAGAGGGCCTCCACGGCCTCCTCCTCTGCCTCGAAATCGTTGGCATGGCCTGGGGGCCCCTCCAGCTGCCTGGGGCCCTCGATGGGAGCCTGGGGAGGAGGAGGACAGTGAGGACAGTGCCGAGAGCGTGCAGGTGAATCACGAACACGCCTCGAAAAGGAAAGGGACGAGAGAGAGACCCTCATCCAACAAGGGGCACTCTCCGCGCCGTGCGCGGGGCCGGGGAGCAACGGTGCGAGGGTCACTAACGGCGCACCGCCGGGCAGTCCCCACTCGCACCGCGCCCCCCGTTGGGTAGACAAACCCACGCCTGTACTTCCGCCCACTATGCAGGTGCCTCGGGCTCGGGCGCCTGCTGCGGCATCGCAGGATCGAGGGGAAGGGACGGGTCGACGGGCGGCCCATCCGACGAGGTCGCTGGATCATCCAGCCCCGTCGATAGGCTGGCGCCCGACTTGGGGTGCTTCCCCTTTAAAATCTGGCCCCAGGCATGCCTCCTGCCATGATCGGACTTACGCTTGGGGTCAGGGGGCCCACAGCACGGCTTGCCGAGATTCCTGACCTGCCCACCGCACGTATAGTAGCAACAGCGGGTGCAGGCGACAAGCAAGCCCCCTCCCTGATTCACATCAAAATAGATGGGTCTGTGCCCATGGTCCAGCAGCCCTTGGCCTGTGATGCCTTTGATGGTGGCCGCTCCTCGGCACCTTCCAGGGTGAGGCTTCTGGGGGCCACGGGCACACCGAAAGCACGAACTACAAATCCAAAACCTGCCTTCCCAGGACCAGGAGTGAGAAGGGAGGAGAGGCCTCAAGGAGGAGGGGGGCTTGGTCCTGGAGGCCTCCGAAAGATCAAGCCTCGGCCAGAGAGACATGACCCGCGCAGCGAGCCTGCAGACCGCCCTCGCAATACGCGCCGAGCGCGCGGCCCGCTCAGCGTCCACAGGGGCGGGGGCCGGATGCCTCAGGGCGGCGAGGCGAGCGGCCTGGTCAGCAGTGTCATTGCCTAGCTTGTGGGCCCTCGCCTCATCTGAGAGGTCGGGGCTGTCGAGGACATGCCCCTTGACCTTACTGACAGCACTGGCGATAGGGCCCAACGCCTGAAGCATAAAACCCGCATACGGTCGGCGAAAAGACAGCCGCGCTGGGATAGGGTCGAGAGCGGCGGAAACCACATTCTGACAGTCACTGTAGATGTGACTGCCCTCCACCCCACACTGGGCGGCGATGCAATATGCGGCATACTCAGAAGCTTGAGAAGTTTGGGGAAAGTGGGCCAGGAGCGGCCCAGAAATAACACACAGCACTTCTCCTGCTTCTGAGACGCTAACCACAGACCACCCCGCCCTGGAGAGCTCAGGAGACACATTCCTAAAACAAGAGCCATCTACATATAACCTACCGCAGACGGAGGTACTGGAGTTGTACGGGCCCCCAGCCCAAGACACCTGAATCCCAGAACCAGGACCATCAATTTCATGTGCTGGACGGGGGAGGTAGTCTCCAGGGTGTACATAAAGACCACGGGTATACAGTAGGTACTGCTCGGGGTCACTCTGCTCCGAGAGGTCCAGGGGAGGGGCAAGCCAAGCATCCTTCCCTAGTACTTCCTTGCGTATATCTTCGCAGGCGGGGCAACGCCACAATCTGTGCAAGAGGGTGTCGTCGGCACCTCCACAGAGCACACAAAGTACGTCGCCCTGATCATAACCAGCACTGCGAGCCCGAGTCTTTGTCCACACAGCCGAGCACGCAAGGGCCTTCATAGAGCCCTTCTCCCGCGGGGTCCACTTGGAGGATTGCAACATAGCATACACCTGATCATGACAAACTCGAACAGGCTGCGGAAGAGAGGGCAGAAACTTGGCGCCTGCGCGTCGCTCATGAAGGTGAAGCACCGCCTGCCTAAGGTGGCGCTTCAGAAGAGCGGGGCTGACCAAGGTGAGCGGCAGGTCCACACCAAACTGGTCCCTCATGACCGTGAAACTGGGCATCGACCACCCAATGCGCTGCAAACTAAGCTTCATGGCACTGATGGGCCCCGAGACCTGCTTCCAGTTGTCGGGCCCTGGTCCCAGGAATATGGACTCCCAAGAAGTGCGGAGCTCAGGCCAGGACAGGGTAAACGTAAAAGAGCGCATATGGGTCCCCCAGAGCTCCTTGGCGTACCTCAGGATGGGCGCGATGGGCCCGTAGTACGTGGGGTCCTTTTCCAGGATGACAGCTGAGGTGAGCGAGCGGGACCCAGCCTTGGGCCTGATACAACGACCGAAAGCACGCCGAACACGCCCCCATTCAGCATCAGAAACCCCATGAACCTCACTTCCATAGTAGTACCCTGGCAGAGGGCCTGTGATAAACAGCTTCCTGGAGTGCCTTCCTAAAGCCTGTCGTATCTTCTGCAGTCGTTTGGTCTTGTGCTTGAGCGTGAGCATACGCACCCGAAACACCTTCGACCGAGTAGGGGCCCTTCTAGGCCTGCCCGAAGTGTGATCGATCCCAAGGTTAGCTGCAGAAGAAACAACTCGCTTGCCAGCCAGAGCTCCCAGTCGCTTGCGCAGTTCCACTGCAACATGGCGATGGGAGGCCACAAGGTTGGCCTTGTCGTGCGAAATACTGCCACCTATGTCGTCCACGATGGCATCGTGCAAAGAAGCGGCCGCCCTTGCCAAATCATATACAACTTCCGAAGTAGTTCCGACAGTCGACAAACCATAGTCATCGATGTAGACGTCGAGCGAAACGGTGGGAGGGATGCCAGCCGAGTCGAGGGGGCCTATGACGAAAATCCTCACCATCGTCGTGGCGAAGGGGCAGCCTGCGACGATGCCGTGCTGTACATAGAATGGGCCACGCAAAAGCTGGCCCATGGTGATGAAGCGAGCGTTGCTATACATGGAGACCACCAGTCGCGCGACGGTCATGTCCATGCCATGCTGGGCACATCTGTGGAGCAAGAGGTCGAGGTTAATCGATTCGAAACACTTGACCAGGTCCCAGAGCAAAGTGGCAGAAACCTTGCCGTCACGAACGCCAACCTCTCCCTTCACAGACTGCCGCCAGACCACGTCAGTGGACGAGGTGAACTTGCCAGCTGCAAAAAAGGGGCGACGATTGTTCTCCTCCCATCGCGTGCCGTATCCTCTTCTCCCCTTGCCCCACAGCCGATAAATGGAAGAGAAGAGGCCGATGGGTCGGAAGCCCCCAGCCTGCTTGCCGATGAGAGACATTATAGTGATCGCGGCCTGCTTCGGGATGAGGCTGCTCACTTCCATAGCTGTGTAAATGACTGAGAGGAGGTCGAGCGAGGCATCCGACAGCGACGCGAAGTGGCGCATGTGAAAGCCGTCGACCGAGGTAGCCGTCGTTTTGGGAAACTTGCGACTACAAGCCCTGAGATCGTCAGGAGCCAGCCGAGGTAAGGAGGGAAGAGGCTGAAAGGTGTCCGACTGAGGCCGAGGGTGCGAGTGAGCGTGCCACAGTTGCTCGTACTGCTTTGCTTGTGCATCGAGGAGAGCCTGAGGATCAGCCACGACGATACCGTTGGAAAGCAAAGCCGTAGTCGGAGCCCACGGAGTGAAACCACGAACGACCGAGTGCGCACGCTTCGCACCTGCTTCAACCTTGTCGAGCAGCCACTGCTTCCATCCACTTAAAGCTTCCTGTTGGGCGATGGCTTCAGCAGCAGCCACTGCGACATCGAGCTGAGCACACAGAGCCCCGTAGACGTCGGAGTCGTGAGAACTCTGCACTGCTGCACAAACTTCATTATACCACCGCTGATGATGAGCCAATCCTTCATGCAAAAAGACGGGTGGATTCAGGACGACCCGACGTAGCTCCCTGGCCTGCCTGACCGCAACGGGGCCATGAGCGTCGAGTAGCGAAACGTACATTCTGAACTTCAAACTCAGCCACTTGATTGCATAGCACAGGGGCTGTCGCACTGGGGGCTTCCTGTCCTGCTCCAAAACCAAAGCCCAGTACATCTGCGGGGCCTTGGACCGTGCTCCTAAACATGGCAGTTGGACGCCCCTCGAGTCGGCCAACTCACGCTCAGAAAGATTAGCCCAAGCCGCGTACACCACATCCAACAAATTCTGGACAGTCTGAGTGTGCCCAGATTGCAGCACATCCAATAGCTGCTGCCCAAGGGCCCTCGCAGAGTCCCAGTTTGGAGGCTGAGGCTGAGGCCCAACTATAGGATCCACAGGGATAGGTGGGGGTCGGCGGAACCTCAGTCCGTATAGCTGCGCCAGCTGCGGATAGAATTCCAATGACACAGGTGAGTGTGGTGATGTACACGCACCAAGCTCAACCTGGACTTTCGCCAAACCTTTAGAAAGACCCAACGAGACCACGAAGAAATCCAGAAGGCGGGTCCCTCCAGTAGAAAGGCAAGATCCAGAAGCAGCCTCAGGAATCACCACACGTCCCCCACAGGACTTTGCAAACTCAGACTCCTGAAAAACCGACGGTTCCATATTAAAATCAGCTCCCAGGATATAAGGTCCAGCCCACACCTCCAATGCGGCGGCCACATGCGAGAGGAGCCCCAGGTTGTGGTCGCTGAGCCCCTGGGAGTGATGGAGGTACGCACTGACGACGTACAGCGCGTCGCCGCCTGGGATATTGACGATGGCACCTACGACCCTATGAGGGACCAAAACGTGACCACCTGGCGGGGGCCGAAGGCCCAGGAAATCTCTGACCATGATGCCTACTCCAGCCGACGTCCCCCCCGAGGGGGTGGAGAGGGCGGGAGTGAGGAGAATTTGCCACCCGTGAACCTTGGCCCAGGACGATGCTCGGTCAGCTTCATCACCGAGGCGCAGGTGGTGCTCCTGGATCAGGATGATGTGCGACGTGCAATGCGGGAGCCATCGCTGCAGCGATGACCATGCAGTGCAATTGAGCGTCTCTACTTTCAGGGAAAATTGAGCTCTCCCAGGGGGTGGGGGTGGGGTACAAAACTTGTGGACGGGGGCGGCTGCAGCCCACCCCGTCTCACGGAAACTACAGGTAGCCTGGGCCGAGGACTCCAGGGGCCAAGGCGTGAGCATCTGGCCAGGGCCCCCACGCGGGCGACAGGACGGGGCCACAAGATGCTGGTGAGACGTAGGATCAAAACTCGCCCTCCTGACCCTAGCTCTCGCTCGGGCGGCCAGAGCCTGCGACGAGGAGTTGGTCAGACGGGCGTTGGCGTAAGCCAGGATATTGTGCGAGAGACCGTGCCTATGGGTGCGCCCACGCACACCCCACGCATTAAATCCTCCACACTGAACAAAATTGAGCTCACTGAGTCCCCCCCTGCTACGCACTGGCTTTGTCAGCAGCGGCAGCAGGGGGGACACGCACTGAAGCAGCCTTGATCTGGGCCGCAGCACGCTCACGAATGCTGGTAGCCGCTGGCGTCGGAGAAGGGGCTGCTGGGGTTCCCGCGGACCGAGCAGAAGGCGGTGCAGAGTCCGCGAACCCGACCGACTTGTCCCTGTCCTTCGCCTTGGGGTCCTGGCTGGCTGTGGTCGAGTCCTGCTTCGCGCCTGCCACGGGGCCTGCAGCCGCACCTTCACCTGATGCACCCTTGCGCTTCTTCTTCGTGAGGCGGGCGACGTGGGCGGCCTGCTCGGCCTTGATGGCCTCCAGCTTCTCGAGTGCGCCAGAGAAGAGGCCCTTGGCAACGTCCTGCAGCTGGGACCGCAGCAGATCACGACGGTCAGCGATGTTCTTGCGGTCGTCATCCGAGCACTCGTAGCCATCCACGTCAAACACAGAGTCGACGTCGATGAGGTCGATGATGCTGCCAGTTCCGTCGACCACCTCCTTGATGGAGATGCGAGGTGGAGCTGGAGAGGCAGCTCGATCAGGTCGGTCACCGACCAGAGAGGCAACTGCAGCCCTGTACTCGGCGTCGGCCTGAGATAAACGCTCCGTGAGCTCTGCGACAGTGTCCGCCTGCTGGGCCACCCACTGCTGGTACTGCTCGAGCTTCTGGACTTCCTTCTCCAAAACCGTCTCGAGCTCGGCGACCTTGGCACCGATGGCACTGATACGCTGCTGTGGCGGGGGATCACCAGCCTTCTGAACTTGCAGCTGCTGCTTGTAGCGTCCTGCCACGCGCTGGTCCCCTGCCTTCTCGGCCAGGCGCACGAGGTCCTCGAGCTCGGAGACCGTGAGGCTGGGGTCAACAGCAGGGCCTGCATCGCCACCGTCAGGAGGAGGAGCACGCTGAGGAACAGAGGGGCGCCGCCGCACTGAGCCTTCCAATGCAGCGTCCGCCCCCTGGCTGGGCGCCTCGGTGCGCCACTCTCCGCAGTGCTTGCAGTAGACCATGGAGTCGAGGTTGCGCGCACAGCTGCACCATGCACAACGCCACTTGATCTCGCGCTCGGCGCGGCGGGAGGGAGGGCGGCGCACCTGCCACGGCGCAGCGGCCTGGCTGGGCGACCGAGGGGCTGCGTCAGTCGCGCCCTTGCCCTTCCCTCCACCGCTGGCGCCGCGGCCGACCGCGCGGCCCTTGCCTCGCCAGAGGGCTGGGGCCTGGCCGCCGTCGCCGAGCGCCGCCGCGCCCCAGGATCCAGCACCGCCCCTGCCGCCACCGGCGAAGGCCATGGCGGAAGCGTGTCGGTGCCGATTCGAGGGACCGAGCCACTGGCTCGCTACCCCAACGCCGTCCCAAGTTCGGAGTAGCAAGACCCACCTGGGCCTGGGACGGCTTGAGCCAAATGGCTTGAGCCAAAATGGCTACGGTGAGGAGGAGGAGGAGGAGGAGGAGGGGGAGGAGGAGGAGGAGGAGGGGGAGGAGGAGGAGGAGGAGGAGGAGGAGGAGGAGGAGGAGGAGGAGGAGGAGGAGGCGGAAGACGAGGAGGAGGAGACGAAGGAGGAGGAGGAGGAGCGGGAGTAGGACGAGGAGGCGAGGGTTGAGGAGGAGGAGGAGGAGGAGAAAGAGGAGGAGGAGGAGGAAAAAGAGGAGGAGAGGGGAGGAGGAGGAGGAGGAGGAGGAGGAGGAGGAGGAGGAGGAGGAGGAGTGACCAGTAGTGACCATGGAAGGACGAACGTCCACAAAACAAAACGGGTTGGGCGGGGACTAATCCGAGGATGAGTCCCCGCCATCACGGTGAGGGATCCTGGTGGGTCGACGGGCCGCACCGCCCACACTCCCCTCACCGTGAGACAGCAGAATACTACCCTTCTCCCGAGCCTCCCTCGCACGCTGGACCGCAACCGAAGCATCGCGCCGCTCTCTGGCCAGCAGCACCGCCTTCGGGGGTCCCCTGTGCGAGGGAAAAATGCCTCGACGGATCCTGTCGAGGTTCTGGGCTCCTTTGGGGGAGGGCTCCTGGCAAGGTCTTGCGAGCCACCTACCATCGACGGTGGCGGTGAGCCCGCAACAAACACAAAAATGCAAGGACAACTCAGGCCAGTAGAAGATTTTGTGGGACGAGTGGGCCGAGGTGGCCCCTATCAAAATCTCACCAGTTCTCAAGACGAATTGGCTCCACTCCGACTTATGGCCTCGGACCTCGGGGGCCAGACCTGGACAAGACAGGGCACAAAACTTGAGAAGCTGGGTGGAGGCCACAATCTGGCTGCACACTCTACAACGCCACCTGTTCCCGACCTGCTCACAATTGTGAGAGGTGTCCCTCAGGGCGACGGCCTTCCTGGAGGGGGGGGGCACCCGCACTTTGGCGAGCCTGGTGGCTTGCCAGGGGTCGACCTGGAGTGAGCAGATCAACGCACGTCTGGCCCTGCGCCTGACAAGATGGGCGATGCAATCATAGATGTCCGTGCTGACGAATATACTGGAACAAGGCGTCGTCCGCCGCTCTCCCCGCAAGTTCGTCCGCGCACATATTGCCCGAAGTGAGGAAGACTTGCCACGCACTGAGAGCCTTGCCAGAGTCCTCAAGATGGGCAGCCGTCCACACGACCTGTATTTCAGCCTCCCCCCGCTTCCGCAACGCCACCGCCACCCTGAACCACAAGTCCTGATTCGGGCCTAACCTGCCGCGGGCACGACCCGCTCTCCAACCATCCAGGACTGGCTGGCAATCAGTGACATAAATGATGGGACCCGTGGTTTCTTCCAGGGCAATGGCGAGCGCAGCTATCTCCGCGCGCGACACGGTCTGTCGCGGCCCCAGGAGGGGGGACGAAACTCCCGCGGCGGGCTCCCAGGAGCCATCCTCGGTCCTCCGAATGAGGGCAACTCCAGAACCGCATCGCCTGCGTCTCGGGTCGCTGCTGTACTTGCCCCCTGACCCATCTCCAAAGATGTGGGGAGGGTCCTGGCCAGGGGCAACACAAAACTCACTGAGGCGAGAGGAGCCGTAGTACGTAAGGGGAGGGGCCTCAAGGGGGTCAAGGAAGACGGGGCAAGTGAGGTCTCTCGACGGCACTCCTCTCAGCCATAAAGAAGGGTCTGCTTCCCATTGCGCCGTGGCCTGGGAAACCAGTGTTTGCGTGCTGCTAAAATCCTGGTGATCAACATTACACACGCATTGCCATATTCTGTGAAACAGGGTCTCAGGGGCCGCCTTACATCTTGGGCAAGTGACGTCAACCGTGTAGCCACAGTCGACTTGGCGCTGACGTGGCCATTGGCCCCCCCGAGGCCACGCACAAGGTGAGGGCCCAAAGATCCGACTGGCCCCGAGACTCGAAACGGCGGAGTTCCTGTTGCAGTGGAAGGAGGTCGGCTCCTTCCTTCAAACTGTCGCCTGCCTCGTGCCCTGCAGCACCTTGCCACAACTTGGCCTTCATGTCAGAAACGAACTCATGCAACAGGTCTGCATGGTCAGTCATCGGGAGTAAATCAAAGTCTGGGTCGCCCATTCGTGGGAACTTCCACGCATGCTCCGCATGCTCAGGTCGTTCCCACAAGTCAGGTTCCCTGGGCTCCCATCCTGCTTCAATAAGGGTGGCCTGGACAGCAGCTATGGGCCCCCGAATGCCTCTCCACCTTTTGGCACCAAGCGAGTCGAGCTGCGACCGAACGATACCCCACGACCGTCGAATCCGAGGTTGGAGGGCGGGGAATCGCTTCCACAGCTGCAGCCAGGCGTCCACCAATTGGCGGCGCAGCTCCAGGGCGGGATCTCCATCCCCTAGCACCGTCTGCAGAACAGTGGTTAAACATTTGCCCTTACCCATTCCCGAGACCGTGCGGGCAGCTTGTCGCCTCAGAAGCAAGACCTGACTCGGTGGCATACCATAAACTTGATGGCCATAGCTGGCCTGTGGTAAGGCACCCGTGCGCCAAGCGCCCTGGGTGACTTTCCTCAAACCTGCCAGCCTGCGCATCTTCACAATCCTAGAAAATCGACCACTGGCTTTAGCCATTCTCTGGCGTGCCTTCTTCCTAGTCCGAAAACGGCCTGCCGCAGTGTCAACACCTAAATCAACTCCTACTGAAGCAAACTTAGCGGGCATCCCTCGGGCTCTGAAAATTCTGACAATGCGCTTCCCAAGCTCAGGAGAGGACGCCAAGACAACCGTTTTGTCCGAGACCGTGAGCCTCTTGAGTCTGAATCCCTCCGAGAACGCTCCAGCTAAACCTTCCATCTCCGAAACAACAGTGGCCTGGGTGCCCTCTGATCTAGCCACCGTGTCATCGACAAAGGTCCATAGCGAGGCCTGCGGGGCTCTAGCATGCGCAGCTTCCAGAACAGAATGCAAGAACACTTTTCCAAGACAGACTCCATGAGACGATCCAGCCACAATCGAGCGGCCAGGGCAGAACGGCTCGCTGATGACCGAGCCCTCTTTGAGGATGCGCGGCGCCATGAAGAGCAGGATCTCCATGAGCAGCACCGTGGGAGGGAAGTTGAGCCCCCGCGCCGCAACCACCAGGAGGGTGAAAGAGATGGAATCGTAAAACTTGGCTATGTCCAGCAGTACAGTCGCCGTTGCCTTTCCTGCAGTAGCAGAGGCCTCGTCCATGAGGCTTCTCGTCATAGCAGCTCTCAGGGCGCTGCTGCCCCTGATGGCTGTGTCCCAGAAAGCAGAAAAACCATCCGACCAACTTGAGGTGACCGAGCTGCGCGCCTGGCTCCAAGTCTTGCAACATTGCGGTAACATTCCCAAAACTCTCGTGCCACCAGCTGGCTTCGGAATGACCGCACAAATAGTAGCTAACCACGCTGACGGCCATGTCTGCAGTAGCTCCGCTTGATTGAGGATACACGTGAGCTCCGTAAGTCCATCTTGGGGCATACGTTGTAGATCGACTGGGCCCAAGCCATCAACTCCTCTCGCTTTGTTTGGTGATTGTCGTCTGAGTATCGATTCAATCTGTCCTTCATTCAGTGGTGGCAAGGGGTCTTCGCGAGCATCCCTGGCTAATCCTTCCAAGGTCCAAAGCAAGTGCTCCCTGCTGTCCTTGTCCTCCTGCCAAATTCCCTGCCAAAAATCCTTCTTCGTGCTAATGAGTACGCAGGGGTCTGCAGTGTCCACTCCATCTAAGATGATCTCCCGCGGTAGTGGGTCAGGAGGAGGAGCACGAACATGCCGATGTATAGCTCCTGGGCTCTTAGCCCACATCTGCTTAGCCCAGTCCACGAAGGCTTGGCGTGACTTGACTAAAGAGCGCCCCTGGGCGCGGTCGACCCACACGTTGGTGTGCTCCTGGAGCTGCTCCAACTCAGTCTGGCTGAGGTGCGACACCTGTAGGGCAACATCCTTCCACTCTTGCACTGTGGTGGTCAACGCCTTTTTCCCGAAGAATTCCTGCTGCTTGGCTTCTGTCAGGCTCTGGACCATAGCACGAAAGCCCGCCAGACATTTCACCGCCTCTGGGGGGTCTCTGCCTGAGCGCGTCAAGGCTACGCCTCGAGCCAGCAGTGTGGATGCGATCCCCCACCATTCTGCAACAGGGTCGCACATGTGAGGTCGACCTGGAGCTGGGCGCATCTTCTTCCAGGAAATTGAGTAGCCTTGCCCTCTGCCAAGAAACACAGCTGGGTCCTCTACATCGCTGACCGCCACAATGGACCGCTCCAATGTAGTGACCCATCGCCCATATCTGTCATCCAAGGTGGAGCGTTGAGCAGGCCTCCAGGTCGCCAGGGGGCCTGTCGCCAACTGCTCTGCTGCTGTACGTGGTCTGAATGTATCCTGCTCCACTTCTCCGTAGATCTTGAGCCATTCTGCCTGCTCCACCTTGAACGTAACCTTGGGGCCTTCTGGCGGTGGCTCCTGAGAAGGCAGGTCATCGAAGGCCTCGCGTAGCTCTTCAGGAAGTTCCTGTCTGCGTGCATCTGCCACCTGCTTGCGTTTCATAGATCGCTTGCTGTCTGGGTTTGGCTCCTGCTGAGGTCGGTTGGCCCTGGGTAGCGGTTCCGGAAGCTCCAACGACCTATGCCACCAAGTCCTCTTGGCGTCCAGCACGTCAACGGCAATAGCACAATGCGTCTTCCAGGGTACCGCTACAACCTGCCTGAGCCTGATGCGGTCCGAAGTAAGCTGCTTAGAGACAATCGCATAATCATACATTCGTCCCTGGCCCTTGTCGCATGTGAACTTGCAGTTCGGCAGCGCAAGCCGACCTCTGAGTCTTTCCACCCATCCACTATCCAACAGGGTCTGCGGTTCATTGTTCCAGTCCGCGA